GGACACCTGCTCTCAGCAGCCCGAGGCTGGGGAGGTGGCGTGTGGGGCTGGCCAGACCTGGGCAAAGCCAGAGTGGAGGTAGGAGAGGGAGCTGTGAGAAAACCCCCTCACAGAGAGCCCCTTACCTTGCCATGCATCAGCAGCCGGATGGTGAGGGTGACGTTCAGGCCACCTTCAGAGACCTTGGACTCCATTTCCTACCAGGGGACGGGAGACGTGTGTTAGCTGGGAGGGCAGCCCTGGTGCAGAAGGAGACAGCACCACGGCCGTATCACCTGGGGACAGAGAGGGGAAAGGTTTTCTCTCAAAACAGGCAGGTTCCTCAATGTGGGATGGACCTTGTAGAGCAGCAGGGCATGGGAAAGCCACAACTGGAGGAGCTGTGGGCAGATGTCAAGGGCTGAGCACCTTCATGGGTGCAGATCGGGCTGGCTGCTCACCACAGGGACTGAGCTGGGTGTGAGCCTGGGAACAGCCTGTAGCTCTGCCGTGGCTTTGCCACCAGCTTTATGCAAAAGCCATTGCGGGAGCCAAGACTCAAATGGCTGAGGTAGCCCAGCCAGTCGGCTAGCCCACACCTGCGTGAGATGAAAAGCAGCATGGATACAGGAGCAGTGAGTAGGCAGAGCAATCTGGCCAAAGACTGATGGTTGAATCGAGACTTTAAAGACCCAGGGCACCTACCTAGCAAACCAAAATTCACCATTTCAAGTGTGAATGGGCACTCAGAAACACAAAAGCCAATTTTTCAGTAACCAGGAAATATCTATCTGACCCCAGAAGCACAGAGTGGGAAGGATGGAGCTGGTGTCCTGATTGCTACACATCTGCATCTTCATCCCGACCTGTGAGTGCCCTAGTTGGGCACTGAATCTCAGGATTACGCCATTTCCAGCTGTTCACGCTTTGCATGTATCTAACGAAACCTCTGTGAGTTTTCCTGGTGCTGTCACATTCCTTTCCCTTCCCATTCTCTCTCTTTCCTCCTCTGCCCTCTAGAGGGAAAAACGCCACTGATGTTTTGAAGACAGGGGGAAAAAAATCACAAAACAGCAACAAATCATTTTTCTTTCTTGACGTCTCCTTAGTTGCACCTCTGTGTGAGGACCCAGCATACAAAATGTCTCTGCAGCCTGCTGCATGGGGAGACCGGTCCTATCTCAGAGGGAGGTGCCAGCATCCTTCTATGTGCAATACCAAGAGATTTGTAGCAATTCTCCCCCATGTTATTTAATCCCTCAGTATGTATCAGATGGAGATTTTTCATCCTGGTCACGAGCATCTGGCATTTTTCTTTGCTCAGGCGGGGACTTATGTGACCAAAAAATGGGAAGTAAACCAGTTCTTAAGTATTACTTTAATGCAAAGAGGCAGTTGGGATGAATAAATATGCAGCAATGCACAAATCATGTCTGGGAGATGGGTTTGATGTAAAACCTCTTCCAAGAGGTTATTATGAAACCCAAAATGGATAAAACCTGTATGATTATCAGGGAGATGGTGTTCCCACCAAGCTAACAGGAGACCAGCTTACTGGGAATGAGGTTGCTCATAATTTACCTGCAAATGCTGGTCTTGAGGCCACTGGATGTTACAAATGGAAAAAAGTAAAATCCTTACAAGGATAAGAAAGTGAATACGTTGAATTTAATTAAATGTCAAGCCAAAAGGCACTGTTAAAGGTAGGGAGGAGGAGAATATTTCCAAGGAAGAAGGTGACAACATTGGGGACCAGGGTAATGGGAACGGGCTGAGACATGATAGCACAATGTGCGAGATCAGGAACTTTCTCTTTCAAGACTGAGCCCATTGCAGGTGAACGACAAAGGCAAATGAATAACTGGTTGTGTCGGTTAACCACAGGCTGACTTCTGTGCATGGGAGGCAAAGCTGAAAAAGTTGAACAGGCTGCTTGGTGGAGGTCAGCATTGCTAGTGCTCTTCATATGTCAGGAGACAAAGCGCCTGCACTGAAGAGGTGCCCTCGTCACACAGGGGGACAGCCATCATCTGCAATGTCCTGCCCCAGGAGCAAACTAGCCTTGCCACAGGGAAAGAAACAAAGCCACAACACCACTGCAGCCACCCACAAGGCTGGTGCACATCAACAGAGAGGTGCAGCTCCCCTTCCCGGATGATGAGAGTTCTCTGACAGCACCAGCTAGAGGAAGGCAGAGGCTGTTCACAGATGATAGTCAAGGCGTATCCACAGGCAGTGACTTTCATGACTTGCAGAGGCAGTATTTACAAAGCCATTCTGCCCTGCACATCACCCCAAGGGCTTTCTTTTGCAAGCTGTCCAACCGCGGTTGCCTGGGCAGCTGCAGCCCTGGGTGCCAGCCCTGTGGCTGCAAGCTGGCAGGGGAGGTGGGACCCTGGAGCAGTCTGGGCTTTGCCATCGGGGTGATGTACCCCAAAGCCCAGCTGGGTGGATGAGGTGCTCTAAGCCCAGGCACATCCTTGTGGTAGTGGGGAAGCTGGTGGTCCCAATGAGGTGGGTCATGACTTGCCCGCTAAGGACTGGCCAAATTCACCATTTTGCTTTCACCAATTGCCCTACAGTGGCTGCACTTATTGCAGGGGTGTCTGTCATCCCCTGCTCCACATCCCTCACAAGAGGAATCCTGCATCAGGCCGTTATGTAAATGTTTCCAATTGATTGAAAAAGTGGGTCATGTGTTAGCCAAATGCTCCTGGCTTTAAGATTTATCAGCATTATTAAATTAAACACGCTTCATGCTCCAGTGAGCGGGAAAGCTACATTGGCCTTTTCTTAATCATACTAGTGAAAGGTAAGTCTTTTATATGGGGGTTCATAAACTGAATGGAAATGATGGGAACAATAGAACCAAGGCATTTAACCTGGGCATGTGCCTCCTCCCACAGCCTTCATTCTTCACAGACAAAGGGCTAGGAAAAATTATCCACCAAACGCCATTTTGAGCATTTCAGAGCATTCCCTGCCTGGAGAAAGACCCATCTTGAACCCTTCCTCTTCACCATTGTATGCTGCCTAGTTCACAGCAGCTTTGTAATGGCTTCTTTGCCCATCTACTTGAAAGCCCTGAGGACACCATTACATCCAGTCCCATGGACAGAGTAGATCCAGAGCCCAACTCCAATTAGTGCAAAGCAGGTGCAGACCCGCAAAGATCAAAGATGCAGCATTAGGAGACAAAAGTCTCAAATTTGGCCCCAAAATGGAAGCTGCACAGTGAGCCAAGCAAGGCTCTGCTGAGCATCATGCCTGGACAACTGCAGCTGGAGGACCGGAGCAGCATCCTCCCATGCATGGCCATGGCGGGGAGCAGCCAGATGTCTTTGCACTGTAGCAAGTGGAGTTCTGCAGGGTGGGGAAAATGGTGCCTGGCACTGATTTGCCCCAAACTGGATAACATATTTTCAAAGGATAATCCCATTGCAGAATAAATAGGCCTTTTAAATGCAGTTGCCTTTGGGAAGAGTGCTTGGAGGAGGCATCATCAGTACTCAAAGCAATCCAGTTCTTCCTTTTCCCTTGATTTTGAGATCAAATATATTAAATTCTGGGAAAGTTCCTTAATCTATCAGGAATTTCTTATGTCTGAAAAAGCAGCTCAGGTACCAGTGACCAAGGAGAAGCAGGAAAAGAGGAAATCCAGAACAGGAGAAAGACATCTCTTCCCCACGTGCAAACACACACACTCTGATTTTTCTCCTTTCCAGTTTTTTAGAGATTGCTGTGATTGCCTAAGCTCTTGCGTTTATGCTTGCTGATACCTCACAAATACTAACACTCCTAAAATTTGAGCAAAACCTTCCAATTAGGGGAAATCTGAACACCATGTATTAAATGAACTTAATACCATGATCATCTCCCAGACAGGAGACAGCACATGAAGCAGAATAGGGGGAGAAACACTGAGCTCTGAGCTAGACTTTCTTCCCCAGCCTGCTTTCCAAATGTGAGCCAGAAAAGCAGATGCTGGGATCCCCACAGCCCCCTCCAGACGGGCGATAGCAGGAGACTCAGCTGAGCTCAGGCAGAGCCAGTATCCCTGCAGGGGCTAGGAGACATCTCTGGCTCTGCTGCCTGTGCCAGGCCTCCTCCTCCTCCTCTTCCTCCTCCCATGCATCCACTGGGGCTCCCCAGGCACGTCAGCCACGTGTGAGCAAGTCCTGCGGCACAGCTCCAGCAAACGCTGTCTACGCCTCCTCTGCTAATGCCCATTGAAGAGCCAAGGCATTTGCCGCCAGTACTGGGGGGCAGCTCCCCTGAGACAGTCCCCACCACCTTGGGACACAGCAGTAGCAGCCTGCATTTTGGAGAAGGTGGTTGAGGCTCTTATAAATGAGCTCCATCACAAAATTGTTCCTCTTGCTTTGGCACTAGCATTGCTACTGCCTGCAGACCTCAACTCCAGAGGGAGCGTCTCTCTTATCTGAACTAAAGTCACCCTGGTGCCTCTGGGACAGACGGTCCTGCCAGAAGACAGACACACAAAGTAGAGTTTATTTGGTAGATCTTGTCATGGAATATTCTCATCAGCGTTATAGAGAACAAATTTCATTGCTTCATCTAGGTATTTGTTTTGCTTGACAGCAATGTTTTGTTCAAGCTGTCCAAAAAACAAACAAAGAGGACAACTTGCTGCAAAAATACCCCACAGGCATAACCCACTCCCTGCCTGAAAGATCTGGATGGAAAGTTCATAGGCACTGCCAAGCAAACTCAAAGAAGAAAGTCTCTGTCACCCCTCTCACCCATCACACAGCCTGCAGAAAATCATACATTCTTGATAGGTTTGGTCAGTGCAGGCTGATAAACTCAAACACCTTGGAGCCCTGTTGACCTAGAACCCTTGCCAACCTGTGCAGGTAAAGAGCAGGGTGGCTGGGGCACCAGTCTGTATGGGGATGCTGTGCCACCTGCCCAGAGGTCCCCAAGACCCTGCCCTGGAGCACCTTGGTGGTTGCTCCATGGCAATGCCACCCTGAAAAACATCAACATACTTCCCAGGCTCTTTGGTGTTTCAGGAGCCCCATGAGCAGAAAGCCAGGTGTTAGAGACAACCACAAAGCTTCAGTGTCCTTCAGCGCACCCCAATACACTACAGCACAGCTCAGATTTCTAATGTGGTTGGCAGACTCATGTTGGGGATTAACAACTTGGCTAGAAAGTCCATCACTCAAGACAACATTTTACACTGCTAGGGAAG